TATAATTTTAGATGCAAGTAAGAAGTAGATAACACTATCATAAAAGAAAAAATAAAATTCAAGTTACACCTAAATTTATTGATTTATTTTAGATTTAATAGTAATATTTTTTATAATTAAAAATGTCAATTAGAAATAGGAAAAAGAAGACTGGAGAATGTTAGAAAGTAACTAAAGTTCAATTGGTTTTCAATATTAAACTTGAAATTCAAATGAACAAACTTGTTTCTCTGCATATTGGCTTTATTCATAAAGATTTGTGTTTCAGAGTTAAAGAGTTGAGAGAGGGTTGTAACTATAATAAGGTAGCCTCCTCGACTGTAGTGACCTTCTCAGCCTTGAAAGGTAAAAAACATAGATAAAAAAGTGACTCTCAATCTGTAAAAGTATTTGAATAAAGCCCGTTTTTTGCCAACCCTGGCTTTAAATCTTTATATTACAATGACAAACTAAATAATTTTTTACTTTGAGTAAATACTCAAATACTCAAATATACTCATATTTCATATACTCAAATACTCAAATATACTCATATCTCATATACTCAAATACTCAAATATACTCATATCTCATATACTCAAATACTCAAATATACTCTTATCTCATATACTCATATCTCATATACTCAAATGCTCAAATATACTCATATCTCATATACTCCAATACTCAAATATACTCATAACTCATATACTCAAATACTCAAATATACTCATATCTCATATACTCAAATACTCAAATACATTATTTTTAGAATAAATATTTTATAAATATAATAATAAAAAAAATTTATTTTGTTTTTTAAACAAACTATTAAGTAAAAGATAGTATTTCAAAAATTTATTTTTTTGAAGATATAATTCATATAAAATTGAACTAAATATTCTTTAATGCTTTTTTGGTTTTGAATTATTCTTTTATATTCATTTTTAGTGCAAATATTTTGTTTTCAGCTTTTCACAGGCTTACGTGCCCCTGCTCGTGGCTTGCTTCTTTTTGGTCCACCAGGAAATGGAAAAACGCTTTTAGCAAAAGCAGTTGCAACTCAATCTAAAGCTACTTTTTTTAATATTAGTGCAGCAACGTTAACTTCAAAATGGGTAATTCATTATTTTTAGAATAAATATTTTTGTTTGAATATAAATAGATTTAAGTTCAGAGTTTAAAATGCTACAGTATATATATATATATATATATATACAGATATAATATATATATACATATATATATATATATATACAATATATATATATATATATATACATATATATATATATATATATATACATATATATATATATATATATATATATATATATATATATATATATATATATATATATATATTTATATATATATATATATATATATATATATATATATATATATATATATATATATATATATATATATATATATATATATATAATATATATATATATATATATATATATTTATTCGGGAAGTATATATATATATATATACTTCGGGAATAATATATATATATATATTATTCCCGAAGTATATATATATATATATATACTTCGGGAACTTGCTTTGTCTGCTGTAGAACCTGAATTCTGATATTTCTTAACAATTTTCCTGATGCCACTTGCAGTGGAACCCAAAATTGTTGCAATTTTTACCATTTTCTGCCATGAAAACAGCATGGAGGCGCTCTTCTTGGGACAAGCGACAATATTTTACCATTTTTTCTACAACAAAAAATACTTATATTAGATCATTAAATTAAACTAAAACAGACAAAATAATATTAATACTGACAGTGAAGCTGTCAAAATGGAAGCAGATGCTAATAAAACACAAAAAAATTGGCTAAAGTATAAAAACTTGGTGGAGAATACCTTAAAACTCAATAGTTACCCTTGACTGCTGGTTCTCATTAACTATATCGGGCTTTAGATGACCTTAAATGATTTTAAATGTTATATACTGGCTTAATATGTGAATGGTAATAATATAAACATATATTTTTTACCAATTAATAATGATGACATTAATATCACAATAAAGGCATATCACTTACCTCTACTGTCTTGTTTCCTATGCTTAAAATATGATAAACAGCTTTCCAATATGTTATAATAATTTATCAAAAAAAACATGTGCTTGTTGCTAAGGTAAACAGGAAGTGCAAAGATATTAACGTGTCAACACAACAGAGATCAATAAATGTAGCTATGATGCTTTCATCTGATAATTATTTGGACAAAAGTTGCAGTGATTTAATTTCTGCTGGATTTGTCCTTACTTTGTGCCGCCACTGTATATATATATATATATATATATATATATATATATATATATATATATATATATATATATATATATATACATGCATTTATAGTTTATATATATATATATATATATATATGCATTTATAATTATATATATATATACATGTATTTATAGTTTATATATATAATATAATATATATAGTATATAATATATATATATGTATATATATATGTATATATATATATATATATATATATATATATATATATATATATATATATATATATATATGTATATATATATATATATATGTATATATATATATATATATATATATATATTATGTATATATATATATATATATATATTATGTGTATATATATATATATATATATATATATATATATATATATATATATATACATATATATATATATATATATATATAAATTATATATATATATATATATAAATATGCATATATATATATATATGCATTCAGCTGCTATCTTATAGAAGACCTCCTAGGCAAAGACTTAAGAGGTAAACAGATTCTATCTGTTGACCAGGCTCGCACCCCTTCTTCATCTATTAGGCTGGCACAGATGTATTTATAATGCGTTGTTTCCAGTTTAAGATGTCGAATGCTGGATCTTCTAGACTCAATGCATTGGTTTTGCTTGTGTCTTTGTTTTTATGACTAAGCAACTTATTCTATTATCTCCTAATGAGGCTACAATACTATAATATAGTTTAATGGTTCTGAGGTCGACTGATAGTTAGGTAAAATATCCTAACAGTGCCATAATGTGCATGGATGGTGTCCCTTTTTTTCTTTTGGTGTACGTTGTTGAGGCCACATTTGGAGCCGTTTGTTACAGCTTAAGGTTTATTAATAGTAATGAGGCAATTGCATGGACTATTAAATAGTGTACTGAGTACTATCTGTGCCTTAAGTCAAGTTTCTTAACAAATTTAAAAATGATTTAAGTACCAAAATCTATATAACTCCAAAAACCATAATCATCACCAATTTCTCTAAATCTATTATTCACTAATATTTGTAATTTTCGAAGAAAATTTTCTTCTGTTGAGTCTTATCTCTTGCAAAGTTCACGAGACCTACTTGCTCTTTTTGATACTAATTTGAGTTTAGCTGTCTCATCATGTGATCATAGTAACGATGATTACATAAAACTACATAGATAAAAATACATTACATACATAAAAAATACATCCCTTATATATAAAAAATAAGAATATACTAATAAAATCTACAATATTTTTACAAAACGTTGACAAGTTAAAAAAATATAAATTTAAAACATTTATTATTGTACACAAATAATGTTAGTTTAAAACATTTATAGCTTTATAGATGTGGCTCTAAGAATTAAAATAATAGTTCGTTTGATAGTATATTCTTGAAATAAGTCTCACAAAAACAAATTAAAATTCAAATAGTACAATATTTTAAAATATTTCAACAGAATACTCAGGACATTCGGTTAGTATTTTTTGAATACTCTAGAAATTTTGGTTAGTATTTTTTGAAATAATGGAATTAGTTGTTCGTAGCTTAGGCAGGTTTTTTGTGTTCATGAATATTCTTTTTTTTATTATTCCACACTAAGATGTTGGAGAACATTCAAGTTTATGTATGTTTCCATGTAAGTCCGTAAAACAAAATGAAAATTTACGATAAAATGAAATTATTATTTTGCGGAAACATACAAAAACTTAAATGTTCTCAAAACGACTAAAAAATCTGGCCAGTTTTTCGCAACTAAATATTATTTCCGTGTTCATTTATCGAGTGCGATCGCACCCGCTTTCTGACCAAGCCTGGTGATTGAGCAGGCGAGGCATATCATTAATATAAATGAGGAATAGTAATGGTCCAATACATTAACCCTGAGGTACACCCATGAGTATGTTTAACCAGTCAGATTCTAAATTTTCTATAATAACCTGTTGTTTTTTATTGGATAGGAGTGCATTTATCCACTGGCAGATATATTTGTCAAAACCATATGCACAAACTTTTTTAAGAAGTAGCGAGTGGCTAACTTTATCAAATGCTTTGGTAAAGTCAAGCAAAACTACAACTATGTCATAACGTGATTCCATAACGTTAGTAATTAAATCAAATGATTCCAATAATTTGGTTAAACAAGACTTACCAGGTGTATAGCTATGTTGGTTTGCGTCAAGAAAATTTTTCGAAAGTAAAGGTTTAAGCATTGCATCTAACAAGTGGTTCCATCATTTTGCAGAGAACAGATAAAATTGAGATTTCATGGTAATTGTCAGAATTAGTTTTTTGACCTTTTTTGTAGATAGGTGTAATATCAGCTAACTTCCAGCTATTTGGAACTGAACTTGAACAAAAAGATTTGCGAGAAATGATTGAAATTGTTGTTGAAATTGAAGAGTACATTTCATTTAGCATATGGGTATGAAAATTAACTATCCCTGCAGGTTTAAATGCTTTTAGTGTTAAGTGCTTTTAGTTGATTTTCTATTAATGCTTTTGAAAATATGTTTTCATTAATATTTTCATAAATAGTGGTACGTGGCTCAAAAGACAGCATTAATAAAATCTTTTGAAAAAAACTGCTTAATTAAAATATTTGATATTTCTACTTGATCCGTGGTCAACAAGATTGTGATGTATGGTCAACAAGAGTGTGAAGGCGTTCTCTGGTTGATTCTCTGGTTAACAAACTAGAATTCACTACATGAAGGAATTCTTTTTCTTTAGAAGAGGTTCTACATAATCCACCAGACCTTGACCAAGTAATGTGATATATTATATATCTAAAAAAAAATGTTAATTTTGAATTAAATTTATTTCTTCTAAAAACTTCTCTTGCCTATAATACTGTTACCAAATAAAGTATGCTATGTTTGCCAGAATAATGTATGCTATGTTTGCCAGAATTTGAAATAATCACCCATTTACATAAAAAAAAATTTATTTCTAAATGCAAACAAGAAAATAAGTTTTTTAAGATATTATAAAAACAAATGACCAAGCTAAAGTTATTCCATATTCTAAAAAATATTAGATAATTGTTTTTTTTACTAATTTATTGCTGCTTCAATAATTAATGTTTTAAAGGATTTTTTAATTTAAGGAATCTATTTAATAAATATATTTTTGATAATATTAGAGCCTCTCAAATGTTCAAGTACCTTCTAAAAAGAATTATCTTAAAAATATTTTAAATCTAGTTATTTTATTATGTTATTTTATTACATAAAACACATTTATATATGCAAATCAGATTTTATTATGTAGGTTGGGGAAGGTGAAAAAATGGTGAAAGCAATGTTTGCTACTGCTAGAGAATTACAACCAAGCATTGTATTTATTGGTATTCATAGTTTTTATCATAAAGTATAAAAAATTTTGAATTACTTTTGATTACTTTTTACCTTGTGATGTTTCTGAGGTTTGTAACAATATTTAATTTAAAGGTTACATTCTTTTAAGTTTTGTCTAGAAGTATATTATGTTATGCATAACTTATAAATAAAATCTTTCTTCAAATTCTTTTATTAGTTTCAAAAAAAATTTCTAAATTATTCATAAGATTTAAGTTGCCACCAAATTGGTAACTTAAGACAATTATTATAATTTTTTTTTTTTTTTTTTAACATCTTCACTTCCAACAAGGCTGCAAGCAACCACTATAAGAGTTGGAAGTTACTGGAAGAGAAAAGACTAAATCTGTAGAGCAAGATAACGATTGACTGATGACTTAAAAGATTGCAAATTATATGAATCAGGAAAGCAAGATGAAGGAAGCGAATTCCAAAGAACTGATGTTCGAGGAAAAAAACTAGAAGAATAAGAGTTTTTGAAGCACTTAGGAACAGTCACAGAAAAAGGATGAGACTTAATTGAATGGCGAGTAACACGAGAATGAATTTTAGTAGATGGCACAAGGGACGCTAGCTCTTTAGAGCAGTGCCTATTATAGTATTTGTAGAAAAGAGAAAGAGAAGCAACATTACGACGATGTGACAAAGGTTGGAGATTGGCTGCCAGAGCAGGTCCAACTATGTTTACAATTCGTTTTTGCACCTTGTCTAAAAGAGAAAGAGCATCATTAGAAGATCCGCCCCAGATGTGGCAACAGTATTCCATACAGGGACGGATTTGAGATTTATAGAGATAGAGAATAGAATCTGGAGTAAGAAAGTGTCGAGCTCGATAAAGAGATGCAACCTTAGCAGATGCTAATTTTGCAATGGATTTGATATACGGTTTAAAAGAAAGATCAGAAGTAAGAGTTAATCCTAGAAGATGAATGGTAGATGACTCATCTAGTACATTACCATTCATAAATATAGGAAGATCTAAATTATTACGATAACGATTGGCCGAATAAAATTGAGTTTTATCTGAATTAAAGTTCACCAGCCACTGTGAGCCCCATGCTGTAGCAGAAGTGAGATCCTTTTCAAGCTCAGATACCCCCTCCAAGCAATCAGAGAGTGTAGGCTTCTTATCATGACAAGAGTAAATGGTAGTGTCGTCGGCGAATAATGCCACCTTAGATGTGAGAATATCTGGAAGATCGTTAATGTAAATTAAAAAGAGTATAGGGCCAAGGATTGAACCTTGAGGAACCCCTGAAGTTACAGGATGTGAAGAAGAGTGTTGTCCATCGAGGACAACTTTTATACTACGATTGGAAAGAAAGGACTCAATAATCTTAAAGACGTTACCAGCTACACCATAAGAAGAAAGCTTATGGAGAAGACCAGCATGCCAAACTTTATCAAAAGCTTTAGAAATGTCAAGTGCGATAGCCTTAACCTCTCCACCTCTATCTAATGCACGGTAAAACCTATCGGTTATTACTGTTAGCACATCAGCTGTAGAACGAGAAGACCGAAATCCATATTGATGATCAGAAAGTAAGTTATTTGATTCAAGATGAGAGATTAAGTGTTTGTTGATTAAAGATTCAAAAACCTTGCTTATGACAGGAAGAAGACTAATGGGACGGTAGTTAGATGAATCAGATCGCTCTCCGGAATTTTTGAAAATAGGGATAACAGATGCTGCTTTCCAGCATGATGGAAAACAAGACTCTGATAAGCACTTGTTAAATAGTTTAGAGAGTATGGATGAAAGCTCAGGAGAACACCTCTGCAAGACTACAACAGGAATGTTGTCAGGACCACAAGCTGTTGAAGAGTCTAAGCAGGAAATTACTTTAGATACAGAAGCTGAAGTGATGCGAATGTCAAGCAAGGGATCAACCTGTTTGACGGCTATGTCAGGTAAAACGCAACTAGTGGAATCAAGAGATGATATTGATGAAAAGTTCTTAGCAAACAATTCAGCTTTGTCTTTAGGTGAGGTGACAAAGTCTGAACCATACAAGAGAGAAGGAATAACAGATTTGCTCTTATTATTGATACTGTTAAAGATTCTCCAGAAGTCTCGAGAGCCTAATTTTTGTGATGAGATACGAGATTTAATGACCTGGGAATAGCGAGCTTTGGCGTCAGACAAAACCTTTTTACAATGGTTTCTGGCGATAGTGAACAGATGTCTGTTTTCTGGAGAATTGTTTTGCTGATAGATATGGAAGTAACAGTTTCAATTAGAAATTGCTGCAGCACAATGTGAGGAAAACCAAGGAGAAGAGTGAGGCTTGACCTGGAATCGTCGAGAGGGAATAAAAGATTCCATGCCAGCCTGAATCCACGAAGTTATGTAAGAAGCACATTTGTCAGCAGGAAGACGAAAGATTTCTACCCAAGGGCCATCACGAAGAAAATCACGGAAAGAGTCCCAGTCAGCTTTAAGGTAGTTGTATGTGGTACGATGATAGGGGGATTCTGATGAAGTAGAAGAATTTGATAATAGTTTTAGAGAGATCAAACCGTGATCAGAAGTACCTAAGGGTGAATGTGAAGAAATTGAGCACTGACTAGGATCCAAAACAAGACATAAGTCGAGTAGAGAAGGTAAATGATTAGGGTTGTCTGGAAAACGAGTTGGAAAGTTGACTATTTGAGTTAGAGATTGAGAAAGGCAAAAGTTGAGGGCCTTAACGCCAGCAGAGTCGCTGACACAAGAGCCAAGCCAATCGGTGTGGTGGGCATTAAAGTCACCAACAACGACGATATTGGCCGATGGATAAAGAGAGAGGGCTTGGTCAATTTGATCAGAAATAACATCAAGAATAGTGCAATCTTGGGATGAAGGAGAGCGATATAGAACAAAGAGAAAGGCGATAGAGTGAAGTTGTGCTAAACGAAAGCACATAAATGAATAGTCTGTAGATTCAAACCTAGTTTCACGACAAATGGGTGAGTTCTTACGAATGTAGATGCCCAGACCAAGCATGTGATTATTGGAGTCTTTACGAATTAAAGGAAGATAACCATCAACACTAAGATCACAAGATGGGACAGCCGAACTCAAATTAGTCTCACAAAGAGCAAGTAGGTCTGGTGAACTTTGCAAGAGATAAGACTCAACAGAAGAAAAGTTACTTCGAAGACCACGAATATTAGTAAATGATAGGTTTAGAGAACTTGGTGATGACGATGGTTTTTTGTGTTTTTTAGTTTTAGGTACTTTAGTCATTTTAAATTTATAAAGAACTTGACTCAAGTATAGATAGTACTCAGTACACTATTTAACAACTAAGCAATAGCCTCATTACTATTAATAAACCCTAAGCCGTAACAAAGGGCTCCAAATGTGGCCTCTGCAATGCACACCAAAAGTACAAACAGGGACACCATCCATGCGCAACATGGCACTGTTAGTACTCTGATATTTTTCGGCTGTTGATGGAATCAGCCTCTCTGAGAGCTACCACAGAGTTCGGGAAACCTGACTACCAGCCGGCCTCAGAACCATAAAACTGAGTTTTAGAGCTGTACCCTCATAAGGAGATAATAGAATGAGTTGCCCAGTCATAAAAATAGAGACACAAGCAATACCCACGCATTGAGTCAAGAAGATCCAGCGTTCAACATCCTAAACTGGAAACAATGTATTAAAAATACATCTGCGCCAGCCTAATAGATGAGGATAATTAATGATAACTTAAGATAATTAATATCAATCTTGATGAATTATGTTTTTTTTGAGCATGAAGAAACAATTATAGTGAAAGGATGATAGCTGAGTCATGAGAGATTGAGTTTTGGTTGATACAGAAAGTGATAATAGCTCCATTGAGCAGTGACTGCATAGTATTTGTAAAAAAGAGAAAGGGTAAACAAGAGAAAGTACAACAATAAGACAGAAGTTCAAGCTTAACAGTTAAAGCAGGACCTCATTGTATATTCATGACATGCATTTAAAAAATAGGCAATAAGTTGAACATTTATTACTTTTATTTATCATTTATTTATGCTATTTCGAGGTAACCAAACTTAATTTTTGACCCAGTGAAATTGATTTTTGTCCCTAAAAAACTATATTTTAGTATTTTCCTTATATTTGTCCCTAAAAAACTATATTTTAGTATTTCCCTATATCAACTTCTTTCTCGCACAGCGGCCTTGTTCGTCAAGGTTCGTGTTTTTGAGTTATAGAGTGGAGAGAGGGTTATAACCACAAGTAGCCTCCTCATCTGTAGTGGCCTTCTCGGCCTTAAGGAGGTGAATTACAAAAAAAAAAAAAAAAAAAAAAAAAATGATATACTAGAGTGGTAACATTTTTATTTCTTGTGGTTTAATATGGGTTTTCAGAGTGGATAACCAACCTTATGAGTATAAAAATAACAGTTTTTATGCCTAAAAAGTGAAAATGCATTTTCCGGCCCAAAATTATTCGTATTCTGATAACATTTAAAAATGTTCTGAGTTGTATATTTATTTATATATGTAAGTTGGATAAATAACTGGTTAAGTTAATTTGTTTTTATAGTAGTGATAGGTAAAGTTTTATATTTGTGTAGATATAAGGAAGTCATAATGAAAAAAAAAATAACAAGTTTTTTTTTATAATTTTATAGTTAATTTGTTGTGCAATGGTAACATTTATTGTGCAATGGTAGCATTTATTGTGCAATGGTAGCATGTACTTTATAAATATATGTTGGACTAGTATTACTTTGCATTTTTCAGCCATTTTTTAACTTTTTGTGTAAAGTTAATTTTTACAAGGTTTCAATTACAGTTTCAACAGCTTGAGAATGATCACTGTTAAATAATAATGTTCTAATTGGTATAATTTTATAGCTGCACAGATACAGTACTTTTCTACTCCTTATCTCATACAGTGGTCCTTATCTCATACAGTGGTCCTTATCTCCCACAGTGGTATACCCTAAATTAATGAAATTGCTGACTAAATTTTTGCAAATGCTTTAATTCCCTGAAATCTTTACCAAATATTTTTGTAATAAAGATAAAAGTTAATTTTAATAATAGATAACTTAGTTTTATTATATTAAGCTACTAACTCGTAACTATTTTTAAATAATATAGACTGATGACAGCCATTCTTAAATAATATAGAGCCATTAGACCAATTATGTTGCAATTTTTGTAACAGGATATTAAAAATAGTAAAATAGCCCACTTAATTATTATTATTTTTTTTTTTGCAATTTTAATATATTTATCTTATCATCATGCCATTATTGTGATATGATGTAATTTATATTTGATTAAAAGTATAATAAATGTATATATAAAGTGTTTACTGCATACATTTACAATAATATAAAAAACATATTTTAGGGGTTTCATGTAAGATTAAGGTTAGTTTATACAATATTTTTTTTCTGAATTAGACGAAGTTGATTCATTGTTATGTGAGCGAAAAGAAAATGAAAATGAGGCTACAAGAAGAATAAAAACAGAGTTTCTTGTTGGTTTTGATGGGGTATTACACTTTTACTATTAATTTTTAACTTTTCATATATATTTATATTATTTTTTCTTCCAGTTATAATATCAGATTTAACAGGTGTTCACTAAGTTCTTTGCTTAAAATTTCAAAGGGCGTTAATTAATCTTAATAGCAGTAAGTTTAAAAAAATTTGATGGATTTTGAGTAAATATAGATCTTATTCTTTTTCTAACATCTTTGGTGAAGAACTTTTTTATTATTTTTAAAAGAAGTATTTTTGTGTCCCATAAAAGTGGGTTTAGCCTCTGGCAAATCACAGGGTTGCCTTGTTTATTAGCATACTCAATGGAATTTTCAACTATGTAGTCAAATACAGATGCTGCATAATGGGAGCTTGCAAGCTTCAGACAAAATATATTATTGCTGCTTAAATGATGCTACTCAATGAAAGATGAAACAATCCTTCTCAATGAAAGACGAGAAAATGCTTCTCAATGAAAGATGAAATCCTTCTCAAAAAATTTTCTATATTTGTTATTAAAGTTATTATTATTATATTTCTATATTTTTTATTTCTATATTTCTATATTGTTTAGTTGATTGCATTTCCACTCTTAATGTACAGTTTTATTATTCCATGAGGAAGACAGCTTGCCAAATAAGAATTTTTCTCAAACTTTTTTTTATTTTTTTCAAATTTTACTTTGTTATTGCTATTTATAAGTGTAAGAGAATTGTGCATTACACTTTTGTAATAACTGTATTTTTTAAAAAGGGTTGTACATTTAATTCTAGCTTCTTTCATTTGAGTTCTTGTTCAACAAGTAATGGCTACTTCCAGCAATATATTGAGAAATTATTTAGCTGCTCATTAATATAAAATAAATCAGCAACTGAAGTGTTTAGTTAGCTTCTATTGTGCAAATTAAGTGAAGTGTTTGGTTAGTTGCAACTTTTTTTTTTTTTAACATCTTCACATCCAACAATGCTGCAAGCAACCACTATTACAGTTGAAAGGAAGAGAAAACAGTATTCTGACAACAGTGTTCCATACAAGGATTTATAGAGTTAAAGAATAGAATCTGGAGTGGCGAATACGATAAAGAGATGTAACCTTAGCATATGCTAATTTTGTAATGGTTTGGTTTTTGGTTTCCAAGAAAGATCGAAAGTAAAAGTTAATCCTAGAAGACGAAGGGTAGATGACTCATCAAGTACATTACCGTTCATAAATATAGGAAGATCAATTAGCTGAAAAAATTAGGTTTATCTGAGTTAAACTTTACCAGCCACTGAGAGTTCCATGCTGTAGCAGAAGTGAGATCCTTTTCAAACTCAAATACCCCCTTTAAACAATCAGAGAGTGTTGGCTTCTTATCAAGACAATAATAAATGGTAGTATCATCAGCGAACAATGCCACCTTAGATATGAGAATTTCTGGGAAATTGTTAATGCCAATTAAACTAGGAGAAAAAAATCTCTGATAATAAATCCTTAAATTAATTGTTGGTTAAAGTAGGATGAGATTATAAACCTTGGGTGATTTTTAGTGGTAGTATCTCTACTAATTTTTTTGATTGTGGCAAGTTTTGCAAAGATCATAAGGATTGGACTATTTAAATGTGGCAATGTGTCATGTTCTCAGACAAAGTGCAAGGGAAACAGTTTAGCTCACACAAATTCAATGTTCACTGTCCACCAAATTCATGGTTCACTCTTTTTTATGTTGTACCTTCTGTTGTACCTTATGTTGTACCTTCTGTTAAGCAATGGCCAGTAATTATGATTTGAGGTGCAATCACTGCCAATGGTGGTTTAATCACCAATGGTGGTGCAATCACTGCCAATGGTGGTGTAATCACTAATGGTGATGTAATCACTGCCAATGGTGATTCTGGTTTATACTTTTTACAAATAGGTGAGACTGTATTTTAAAATTTATTTGGAAATTAACAAACAACCTTACTTGCAGATTTGAGAAAAGTTGTCATAAAAGTGTAGTGTCATAAAATAGCGTGCTAAAGTCTTTTGTTTCTACATTGTCGCAAAGAATAGTGGCTGTTCTGAAACCCATACAAAGTACTAAAACATGTATTATACTGTAACTTTTTTTTTATTTTTTTATGTTCATGAAAACAAAACATTATCTTGTAATAAATAGTTGCACTATACTGATGTAAGAAGCGCTTTACTCTATTAAGTTATAATATATTTTGTTTGATTAATAATATTTTTTTGTTTGAAAACATTTGAAATAATTTTTTAATATACATTTCTACCATTATGGTTTTTTTTTGAGCTTGGCCTAAAAATTTTATAAAATCTTTTATTTGCTTTCAGTTTGGCTCATAAAAATGAAAGCTCAAAACACATTGACACTGTTTTAGTTGTTTAGTTTAGATATTTAGAAAAAAAGACCTTTGATTTTGTAAAGAAATTTGTCTTCTATAAATATCCCACACATTTCATATTCTAAATATTATATATTCTTTTTTTCTTTTTTTTTTTGACATCTCCAATTGCTCATTAAGATTATTAAAAAAGATTACTATTTTTTGATATTTAAAAAGCAAAAAATTATCTAACTGAACAAATTTTTTTTAAATAAAATCTGATGTGCACTTAATTTTAGAACAAAGATATATAACTGTAAATATATAACTGATAGCAATATTTAATATAATAACAAATATAACTCTATGTGTATATTTTGTATTAATATTTTAAAAATATTTTACAATTTTTTTTGTAATAACAATTATTAATTACAATTTTTTAATTGAATTTTTAAATATTAAATTATTCTAGGTTATAAGTGACGCTAATGAAAGGATTTTAATAATGGGAGCCACAAACAGACCATGGGAGTTAGATGATGCTGCTTTAAGGTTGCTGTTTTTAATTCTTATTTTCCAACATCTTTTAGCTTTTAAAATAAATTAAAATATTTTCAGATAAAATGGACAAGTGCCTACTCTCATTCTTTTCTCTACTACCCCCTCATTCCTGCCCTCCTCCCCTCCCCTCCCATCTTTTGCAAAAGTTGCCAGTGTTTTTGATGATAAAATTGTGCATCATTAATAATTTTATAAAAAATGGTTCTAAAGTTTTTTGGCAAGTTTATTTTATTTCAATTTTGATTTTATTAAACTGCAATGTAAAGAGTCATGCTGCTCAATAAAAGTATAATGAAATGTGGTAAAAAACAGCACAACACAGCTGTGAAAAGTTTTAAGCTATAAGTCTTTACAATAAATTATTAAGTTATTGATAAAGAAATACTATAATAACAAAATGTTTTGTCAAATTTTTAATATAATCAGCTATTACGACATTCAGTAGCAATATTTATGTCAAAGTTATTGTTATCACGTGCTAAAAAAATAATTTTGATAGTCAAAAGATAATTTTGAAATACTTTATATCAAAGTTATTAAGCTTTTTTATCCTGCCCAGTTAAACCTGTTTTATCCTGCCAAGTGGTTCATAATTGAGTTAGTGGCTAGAAAATAAAGATTTCATTAGCTAAAACATTTTTCAACTTTGTTCAGAAGATGCGGATATTTTATTTGGTATTTTTTAATTCAACTCATATCAATTAACAAAATACTAAGATATTAATAAAAAATTTTAGCATATAAACTTGGTAAATGGTTGCATACAAGTACTCTATGCCTAAAGGAAAGCGGTGAGATCTGTTACAAGGACACACTCTTGGCTGGTAGTGTTGGTGCAGATCTTGGGCTCCACAAAATATTGTTTTAAGAAGTCCAGCATTTTTCACCTCAACATTTTCCAATCTTTAGCACATTATTATATTTATTTTATCTTTATGATATTGACACTTTATTTAGTTTCATGATTTAATACGCTATGGTATAGTTTATACTCTCATAGTTATAATGACTAGCAAAACACCATTGTATAATTTTTTATTTATTTTTATCAGTTTTTTTATGCATACTTTTCTTTATCTATCCTTAGGTTACGCTAGTGGACACTACACCAACATGTAAGCCTGTTACCACATACACTAAATTATAGCTATTTACATTAGATGCTCATAGTGTTTATGCTTGTACATAAACATTATTTTGAATAAAACATACAATTATTTATAAATTGTATGCTTTATAAAACCTGCAAACAAGTATTACTAACTAAACCAAAACAAATATGATAGAAATTAACTTCAAAATAAAACAAATTTAAAATAATATGGAGCATAAGATAAGAAAAACGTGTTTATCTATAAAGGTAAATTGTGTAGTGGTAGGTAATAATCTTCACTCAGAATCACATCTATTATCACCAACATTTTGAAGAGGCTCAGCAATAATAATTAGTTTACCTATTCAGATAAACATCCTACTTGTTCCATGCAGTAAATAAGATTTTGACATTAGAGTTTATCAAAGACTTTTGTTTGAAAGTCAAACAAAAGTCTTTGATAAACTCTAATGTTGTCATAAATTTTATTTATGCTAACCAATTAAAATGTAACCAAGTTGACAACAAATCCTGAAATTTTTTTATTTTTTTCTCTTTTTGTTGTACGTGTTATTTTTTTTTATACATGTTGTTTAATGTCCTTCTCGGTCCAAAGCTGCTAAGGACACTAAACTCCGAAGTACAAACTTTGGCGGGAAAGGCTGCTCTGTGGAGAAATAAGTTGAGCCTGGTACTACCAGGGGCATGGTGGGATCAAACTCAAAACTACTTGTTTATGAAACAAGTGCACCACTGCACCACTACCCTATAATAAAAATTGTGAAAAAAAAATTCTGGCGTCAAAAAACAAAAGTAAATGTTTTATAAAAATATGCAAAATGAGATCATAGATCAAAGCAAAAGATTTTTGTGAAAAGAAAGAAAACAATAAGTTTGAAAAGGGAGCGAGGAAGGAGCTGAAATGAATATAGTTAAAAAGTTATAGAAACCAAATGCGAAAGTTAGTAGTTAAGACAAAAATTTTTGATGTTTTAGTTATTATTTTTTAATTAAACTAATGTCAATTAAAATAAAACTTGATTTAATTGTTAATAATAACTATTTAAAAAAAAGAAGTTAAAGCTTAATGTTCAAACTTTTTTTTTAATGTTTTATTTTTATTTTTCAGACGTTTTGTAAAGCGTGTGCAAGTTCCATTACCAGATGTTAATGTAAGTTTTATAAAATTAATCTAGACATATTTATGCAGCTTCAAAAATAAAACAAAATATTTATTGCATGTTTACATAAATATCAAAAGATTCAAAACTTATTAAAAACTTGTGTATGGTTTATAAATCAAAACTTTATGAGTGACACCTAAATTTTTACTGTAAAAAACTATTATTATCAACTCTATTATTTATTACAACTTTATTATTTATTATATATTATCAACTTTATTATTTATTACTTTAATTTTGTATTTTTATAGTAATTTATAGGTAAATGATTTTGTTTTAAATTAAAAAATTTTCACTAAAGTTTTTTACTAAAAAGAAATTTGCTCTTTATTTAAATAGCATCTAAAAAAATACAAAATAAAGAATGAAATGTTGATACTAATTCTAGATATAAAAACAACATCATTTTATCTCATTTAACCTTATTTGTTTATTTTTTTGTTAGTCGAGGATTTTTTTTTATTAAAAGATACTAAATAACTAGTAATTATACCAAAGTAAAAAAAGTAAAGATACCAAATAACTAAATAACAAATAACAAGATTTTTGTATTGCAGAAAAAAATAACTTGTGTAAAAAATATTTTAGAAATAAATGATGATTTTCATTCAAATTTTTTTTATTATTCAATTTCAAATTTTAATTACTGTCTGATATATTGAGCCTAGTAGTGTCTAATATATTGAGCCTAGCAATTACTGTCTGGTATAGTGAGTGTAGCAAAAAGATTAGCGGAGATATATTTGTATAAGTAAAAAAGTTTTTTAAAGTTAAGTTCAAGTTTTATCTGTTTAAATATATAAAAAAGTCTTTTATGAATTACATAATTATTAATTACATTGACTTTCACATTTTTAACTTTAATTTTTATTATGATTACAATTTTTTGAATCATCAAAAATGCATAAATTTTTGCCAACATGCATATATTATGTCATTTACACAGCATATATAATGTTTTAAAGATTCAACTGATTAGAGGAATCATTTTTTTATTTTTTACATAATTTATGAATATATTTTACATAAATTATGAATAACTTGTATCATTAACTTTTTATAACATTTTTTGAACTTTAGACTTCAAAAATAATCTTTTAATGCTTAAAACTTTGACAGGTTTTAGTATCTTTATGTTTTAATGTGAACTTCCTTCAAAGCTTCTTTTAGCGTTACAACATGTATCAGAATTTAGATTAACTCCAATTTTATTGGTTGAATTTTAATCAACTTCAATTTTATTTGTTAAATTTTACCTTTTTTTTTAATGATTATAAAATGTAGTTTAACAATAACTTTTAGACACGGAAAGATATTCTTAAAAAATTGCTGTCAAAAGAGTCAAACTGTTGCTTTACTGAGAAAGACTATGATGAGTTAGCAAGGTGTGTTTTTATTTAAAAAAAAAGACTTTCAAATTTATTAAAATACCTAATATAATCTTTAAAAATATTTTAATGCAGTTCTAAAGTGTTCAGGTAAGTTGTCTTGACTTTGTAAATGTTATTTATTTTTTAAAAAAGTTATTAAAACTACCAAATATTAATTGTATTTATTATTGATTATTAAAACGATCTTTTATTGGCTCTTCAGTTCTAGTGAAGGCAACTTGCCAAAGAAAAGGAAAGTTAATATAAAAAACCCCAAATCATTGTGGATATGTGTAAAAGGAGAAAGGTGATAGTATCCTTCTAGTGGTAATATCACAATAAAAATACTTATATGGAAAACATGTTATTTCAGAGTTGACATTTGGTTGTAAAAATTGCTTCAACTCTTCCATGTTTAGTAGTTTAATTTTGATAATCTTAATCTTGGCTTATTCTATAAATTTTATTACTTTTTTTTAACACTTACTAAATGATTTTTTTTTGGAAATTTCAGAAATTCACTATAAACTCCTTTAAGTTTCCAGAAATTTCCAGATGTTTTTTGCTATTAATTTGTGAAAAATCATATGAAATTTTTATTATGGCAACGTTTGCATTTAAGCGACTATGTTTTCTTTAACTGAAAATTCACAAGATCAATTTTCCAAAAAATGTTTTTTTCTTTTTCTTTTTAATTCATTCAAATTAACTTTTCAAATATTAGAAATTCTTTTTTGTACAAAGTTAATTGATGTAAATTTCATTTTAAAAGTTTATAAAAGTTTTTGTATATACATATATATATATATATATATATATATATATATATATATATATATATATATATATATATATATATATATATATATATATATATATATATATTATAGAAAAATATAAAGAGTATTATAAGAAAGATAGATAAAACTGAAGCAGTACATTTATTCCCTAACTGAACACTGAAATATATAATTGCATCATAATTATATATTATTTGATTTGATGTTTTAGGTACAATGTAGAACATGTAGTAAAGATTTTTATTATGGAAATAAAGGTAAAAAAATCTCTACTCATACTCTACTAGTATACTTGAGCATATTTTTGCAACAAAGCTAATAAAGTTGTATTAAAACACTCATCATCACTTGCTACATTAAACACCAAAAGACTTTTTAATGTTGTTATTTATTTAACAAAGACACAATTCCATTAAGTAATCTAGTTTCCAATTTATCATATTCTACCAATTATATGAGGGGAAAAATCAGTGGGTTTGAAACAAGATTAAGAAAAGCAGTTCCTCACTTGATATTGATGGTAATATTTGTTATTATGTACACATTGTTGTCAAAAAATTCACTTCTTTTTTCGACTAGGCAGTTGAAAACTTACTGTATGATATCTACATTGATTTTAAGTTCAGCCCAGATCTTTGTACATTTCTCAAAATTCTAACTAATTTATTGCTTAAGCATAGTACTAATTTATTGCTTAAGCATAGTGATAGCTTGTTAAATTAAAACCTTACAGGTACATTATGAGATTTTATAAAAGAAAAAAGACTTTTTTCCAGGCACTCCTTCTTGTTGAGTTTGGCATTCATTGACTTTAATGTTACAAATACTTGCATTTTTTGCCACAGCTACAAATTGCTTGCCAAATCATACATTTCCTGCCAAACTTATATTTATAGCAATTGCTGATAGCTCCACTCCTTATGCCAGCATAAAATCTGTGACCAGGTATTTGTCTAGTTTGACATAAGTTGCTTTATCAAGAATTAGGCAGCCATTGTACTTTGTCAGAACGTTGTTATACAATTTTCTTGCTCACGTTTTGATACATTTTTGCTGCTTTTTGGTACTGTTTGGATATTTTATCTTGCGATAAGATTAAATACCGTAAAAATTATTGACTTAGTCCAGGATTAGTGCAAGTATGAACAATGAATTTTCAAGGCTAACTTTTTATTCTCAAACCCCTTCTTTCTTCCAGATCCTGATTTGCGATTGATGGATAAAAAGTCCTTGCACTCTTCCTATGCTTGAGATGATGCCTGCTTTCACCTTAATTTATTATTAGAAATCCTGACTTTAAATCATTGTTTTTTAAGACCTTGCTAAAAGCTTACATTGATTCAACAGTTTACTTAGTAATTTTCTTATTAAAATGCCTTTCTTTCTGACCCAATGTCTTAAGGTCACAAAGTTACAGAGAGAATGTTAAAATAACTTTCTTTCCCACTGTAAATATAAACAAAGTAGTATTTTAATTAAGAAGATATGCAGCTTCAGATAGATAGCTTCCTTTTGTATTTGCTGGTTGAAAGTCCATAAGTCTTGACTATTCTGTTTTTTTAATATATAGGAAATGGGCACAAGTTTTCAAATGTAAAAAATATTTCAAACTCAGTAAAATTATCAAGACTAAATATATTCATTAGTTGAGCAATACGTTGAGCAATCATTCAACAAAATGAACACCATAATTAACAAAAAGACAAACTGTCTTGATACTTCAACGCACTCTGGTATAGCTTCAGTTAAGTATCATTTATTAGTAATGAAGACCACAGCGCTACAGTACTTTAAGTGACAAGATATATCGCATGACCTAATTAATGAAAACATCTATGGTCATTGGCAAACTGCAAACAAACACCATATTAGAAAAATAGAATTCCATCTGTAAAACAGAACGTTTTTTTAATATAAATTCAATATGGAATTTTTTGGGTCATTTAAATAACTTAAAACTTGTTTCTTAAAAAAGACATTTTGTCTCTTCATTTAAGCATCTTTTTAAAACTTATTCTAAATTTTTGTATAGGATAACAGAAAACTATTCTGGTAGTGATATAGCAGCATTAGCAAGGGATGCTGCATTAATGCCTGTCAGAGGTAAAACTTTTTTTTTTGTTATTTTTAAACTTTTTAATTTTATTGTTTGCTTTATAAAAAATTTTTATTAATTTTTATTTGTAAATCTTTTGGAAAAAAAAGTGTCAAGCTGAAACTAAAGTGGTAACCTAAACTGACGATCTAGTAGCCTCTAAGACACATTTAACCAACGTTTTTTTTTTAGCACTACTATTTTTGCTCATTTTTGTAAAGTTTACAAATAACTTGGAAATCCCCTTATTACATACCAGTGAGAAATGTCTGTATAACAGAGGCTAGTTAACACACTAAAGACAGTTCTGAATTTATTGCAAAATGTTTATATAAAGAAATACTATTGTTTGATTTGAGTCCTCATGTAGATGTCAAATAAGAAGAATATTTTTATGATTTTTTAAGAATATTTTTATACATTTTATGTTTATAGTTCAGGTTTATGTTGTATAAAACTTAATTGTGGCAGGTTATGCTACTTAACTGCTTTAAATATAACTTGTCTAAAAGAAGGCAATTTTTGACATAACTCCCTTCCCCCCCTCCTTCCAATCCAATTTGTTTTAGGTAAGATTAGGAGGAGCTTGTAATCTTTCTAGTGTTAGTATCACTAAAAAAATACTTCTGGATCTGCAAAACAGGTTAATGCAAGTAAAGGCATCCTGTTTAAAAAAAATTGTTTAAACTTTTTCATAATGAATAATTTTTCATATTTTAATAAGGAAATGGCATTATGACAACTTGTCCGAACCACTATAGTATATAATCATAGAGACTCATAGACGTAAAACTTAAAAAGTAGAATTTTTATGGATTTATATACATTTTTCTATTTTGTAAACATTATTTTAAATAGGAAGAAATGAACATGTAAGGGCAAATACAAAGTTTCTAAAAATGATTTCTTGTTCAATTTTGTTTTAAATAATTTTATTTTTACTTTCAGAATTAAAAGTAGAACAAATAAAGACAGTTGATCCTTCAAAGGTTTATTTTTTATTTTTAATAAAAGTGTCATATCTTTTTTAGCACTATTTATCTTTCGTTGTTTTTTGTTTGAATTTTTGATTTTATTCTTTTTTTTATTCTTATCGCATTAGTTCTTGTTTTTTTTTATAATAGATAATTTTATAAGAGAATTACCCCGATCATCACCCAAGGATGGATACATCATTTTTTCTTTGATGTTTGAGATGTCTTTCTGACATGGAACGACTCCAAACATTTATATGTTTAAAATAAATTTTTATATGACTAGTAAGTGACCAGGGCCCCAGCCCCGAATAAAAATGAGACTTTTTGCAAACCTGGCCCTGGCAAAATTATAAGATTTAACAGGGGTTGATAGCCAGGGCAAGAAAATTTTTTTGCATACTTAATATACTATAATTGTATGCTTATATTTACTATTTATTAATTACTGGCATACATTTACAGTATTGGACAAAACAAGTGAAACCAAATAATGCTAATTTAGTTTCTTTATATAAAAGTGCTGCACTTTTTCAATTTAGTGAAATAACTATGTAACTGTTTAGAGACAACGTTCTTTAAGTTTTATCCATCACAAAGTTCATTATTTGTACACGAAAATTAATAAATTAATCAAAAGTATAAAAAAAAGTTGATTTCCTTCTGGACAAAACAAGTGCAACTCCACAAAATGCTGACCAAGTTGTATTTCGCTATCAATATTTCGTGGCGAATCCTTTGTTTCCGATCACAGCCTTGCATCTTCGAGGCATAGATTCGATCAGGTTATCAATGAAACTTTGTGGAGTCGCTGCCCAGGCCTTTTGGATTTGTTCAAACAGTTGATCCTTAATACGAACACCATCAAGATTAATTCTGCGGTTGACGATCTCCCACAGGTTCTCGACAGGGTTGAGATCCGGAGAATTGAGGCAACCATTCCATCACCGATAGGTGGTTGTTTTGAAACCACTACTTGACAACTTTTCCAGTGTGTTTCGTATCATTGTCTTGCTGAAAAACCCATTTTATTGGCATATTCCATTCAACATGAGGTAACATAACATCTTTCAGGATATTTTTATACACGAAACGGTCCATTATTCCATCGATTCGATGTATTGGACCTAGACCGTTAGCAGAAAAACATTAGACCATTACATTGCCTCGACCATGCTTCAGGGTCTTATGGCAGTAACGTAAATCGAGACGTTTTTCGGCCGGTCGACGTACACGACAAATGCCATCGCTCCCAATGATGTTGAACTTCGATTCATCAATGAACAGGACAGTTCGCCATTTCTGCACATTCCAGTCAATATGAGATGTAGTAAACAGGAGTCTTTTCTTCTGGTTTTTTTGTGAAATCAGCGGTTACTTTGCAGGGCGTCGAGAAAACAATCCGGCTTCAACAGCACGTCGTCTGATTGTTCGGTCCGATACGGGCAGCTCTAATTGCTTTATCTCGACTGATGATATCCAGGGATCCTTCTTGACGGATCCGACGATCATAGAATCCTCTCTAGAAGTGGTGGAACGCGGTCTTCCACCTTTGTTGTCTGTTGCCAATTTCCCCGTAGAACAATATTTGGAACATAGTCTTGATACAGTCCATTTTTTCACGCGATATTTATCACAAATACTTTTTTGTGACATTCCGCTTACGTAATCGCCAATAATTTTCTTTCTTAATTCCAATCCAAGACTGTCGGAAGCCAATTTTACACTTGAAATCATAAAAAAATAAAGATAAATAATCACGCTTCTTAAGGCTTACCGTGTTACATTTACCTTGTGATGATACAATAATACTCTTGTGGAACACAACGTCTTCGTTGGATGTTGACTGTATTGATGTAATGAAACACTTGTTGTATTTTACTTCTTGTATTGATGTTCTTCAAAAAAACACTTTGATAAAACTCACTTTGATTAACTGTCTTGATAATACTGACCGATTGACTTCCATATACTGACTGAATTACATGTCGGTTTACATGTCCCTTATATAGTAAAATAAACCTGTGTTAACTTGTTCTGAAAGATTCTAGATGCTTCTTTTCGATGCTTCTGGAAGCTTCTGGATGCGTCTAGATGTTTCTGAATGTTTCTGGATACTTCTGGATGCTTCTAAATGTTTCTTCTGGAAACTTCTGGAAGCTTCTGCATGCTTCTGGAAGCTTCTGCATGCTTCTGGAAGCTTCTGGATACTTCCTTTAATTATTAAAAAACTTCCGTGACGTTCACACGGACCAGACTTGAGAAAATGAAACAAACCAAAAAAGTTGCACTTGTTTTGTTCGCTGCAAAATGGCACTTGTCAACGAAATTCTGCCTGTGTGCTGTCACCTGTCAGCTGATTGTTCATGTCATGCATGCTATGACTCCAGACTCCTGAACTGTTTGTTGTGGTAGTATAGTTCGTTTCGTTTTTAAGACATGTAAAATTAGGAACACTTTTTAGTATTGTTCGATGTTGGTTGCAAATGTTTTGTTCAATGCTCTATATATTTTTAAACTCTAATTTACTTCCAACAAGATCTCAAGCAACCACTAATAAGTAATGAGTTACTTAAAAATAGAGAATCAGTTAAAATACTAGGAAACGTATAACTAAAAACATAAAAAGTTGTAAGTTGTATAAAAAAGGAAAACATGAAGTTGGGTAAGAGTTATAAGGTTTTTTTGATGTTCAAGGAAAAAAACTGGATTAATTATCATGCTGTAAAAAGATTTTATAGCATGAAGGGACAAATACAGTAAAAGGATGCACCTTGTTGAATAAATAGCCAAGCGAAAATGAGTTTTGGTTTATCGTTATCGAGATGATAGCGTGTTTGAGCATCGACCATGATTGTATTTGTAGAAAAAGAAAGAAATGCAACCTTATAACAATGGAAGAGTGGCTCAAGCTTGGTAGAGCAGGTCTAATTACATTTACAATGTGTCTTTAGACTTTGTCTGAGAGTAAGAGGGTTATTATTTGTCAATATAGGAATGTCAACAATATTGCAAAATTTTTTTGCAATAAATGAGTTTTGTTGTCTAACAAAAATTGTGGATTTAAAGTCCAGAATCGCAAGACACAGTTTTTGAGTTTGTCGAAAGTTGAGTTGCATCTTTTTAAATCCTATTTACTAGTGTTGAATACGCTGATTAATATACATTTTTTTTCCAGGTACGTGGACTAAAATTAAACGATTTTATCTCTGCAATGAAAACCATTCGACCAAGCATGTCCGTTGAAAGCCTGAGTAAATTTGATGAATGGAACTCAAAATTTGGCGTCATATAAAAATGAATTTTTTTTGTTAGGAAGAATTATTATAATTATTTAAGGGAGAAAACCTCTCAAATTCGAAGAATTTTTAAATTTTTGTTTGTGTGTGGCTAATTTAAAAGTAAATTTTATTTAGAAATTAAATGTTGAAAACTTTATTCATAAATCACTATTTTTTGTAAAATAAATGACATTTTTGTATGACCGCCTGCGTGTCATTTTTTACCTAGCTATGTCCCCGTTTACAGAAAAGTTCTCATTAAATTACATTTTAGCCTCTCTTTTTTTTTTTATGTTTATTTTATTTATTTTTTTTTTTTAATTTTTTTTTTTTTTGCATATTTGTCAAAAATGTTTTTTACTATTTCTTTAGCCTTGTTTCAATATTTTATATTTAAAAAAATAAATAACGCTTGTGTAAATGGTAACGATAGTAACTATAAATATGGCAAACTCAAAAGAAAAAGTGTTTCGAAAAGGAAAGTAAAGCCAGTTATAATACCAAACTCTTATGAACTTTCTAAAAGGATTATGTTAAAAAGCATCAATAATATTGTTTTGAAATTGACTACCCGTGTACAAACAGTTGTTAATGAAACTGTGCATGAAGCCGTACAAAACCTCATTGTAGGAATATTGCGTATTTGCAGTAAAAATTATGAAGGATTAACCGGTGGAATGAAAACTGATTGTACAATAATACAAGTATTCAACGGTTTTGAATTAAAATCTTAAGGTGATTCACCACTAAAAAAAAAAAAATTCCCTAAATTTCATAATTTCAAATTAAAAAGTGTTTCAGAACATAACTTAAAAAAATAAATTTCATAATTTCAAATTAAAAAGTGTTTCAGAGCATAACTTAAAATATAAATTTCATAATTTTAAATTAAAAAGTGTTTCAGAGCATAACTTAAAAAAAATAAACTTCATAATTTCAAATTAACAAGTGTTTCAGAACATAACTTAAAAAATGTTTCACAGCATAACTTAAAAAAATAGAAAACAGAAAGTGTCATTTTACAACTACAATTGTAAAAATTTGTCAAAAAGGTTGCAAAATCAGTCAATTTTTGAAAGAAATCTTGAAAAAACGATAATTTGGAAACCTCAAGAAATTAAAGCTTCATATTTGGCAAAACGTTTCATGCACATAAAATGAAACGCCTGTATCAAAATCACTGCTACATTCTTAGTAAAAGTTGTTATTTTTGATTTTTGGCTAAAACATCGAAATTTGGAGGATTGGCTAATGAAATCGAATCGAAAAGTGTCAATAACTCGTTAAGTAATTTGTTTTTAGCGTGATTTTTGCTACAAGCCCTCCATTATTATATGTAGAACATGTCCTAAAAATTTAAAACAAAAAGCTGTAGCCATTAAAAAGTTGTTATTTTTCAAAAATTACAAGTTGCGCAAAAAAGCAAATGTTGAAAAACAACAATAAACATTTTATAACTAAAAAAAATATAAAAACTTCCAGATGAGTAGGGTTTATATGTTTCCAATTGTTGTTCTTCATCTTGCCAACCCTTATTAATGGCTTTTAAATGCATTCTCCTACTTTTTTTTTTCTAAAGTGTCTTTTTTGTTCATACTGGTAACGGGTTTTTGATCCCTACAAAATAAGGAAACTGCAGATTTTCCACCATTCTCAAGGTTGTGGTAGCTAATTACTCTCTGAACACCAGCAGTTCCCTCATTAAAATACAACAATACAGTTCACTTCCTGATTAGAATTCTGTGATTGACCATGAGTGCATTATTTCAAAAGTTATTTCTTCAAACTCTTTCTTAATAATATCATATATCCATATTGATAAATTACCTTTTGGTGTATAATTGCTGTTGCTTGCGGAGTTTTCCTTCTTCCATTTACACCAGATATCAAGACCCACTAGACATAATACATGGTGACGAAACTGAACCGCAAAATTAGTGCAATGGTAAAGAACTGCGTAAATGTTCTTTTTCGTTTGGTATACCTTTTCATTTTCACTTAAAGAATTATTAGCTGCAGCCTGTCGAATAACCATACTTAAATAGTTTTGTATTCTATTAACCGCGCATTCTTTTAATTTTCCTTTTCCAGTTAATCGAATAATCTGAATGGTGTGGTCACCACACCATTTAGTGAAACATGTACGCGTTTTTGCCATGAGCAATCTGAAGAAACTCTGAATGATTTTTTTCCTGACCTTATGTCTTCCTCTTTAACTCAATGTTTAACTTTTATTACTGATGTCTTTGCGGATTGTCCTGCTGATAACTTATATGCGTTTTGAATAGTGTTGTTGATTTTGTTAAACGCATTATTTTTCATACTAGAAGTGTGTGCAATTCGTATAAAGTCCACCAAGACTTAGTGTCCTTTGCCAATATCATGGAAAGCAATAACAATTCTAAGGTTGATATCAAAATAGTTTTTGTCTTGTTTTGATACAGTTTTTTTAATATTATCAGATGTGCAATATTGAAGCTTACATTACGAAAATGCACTTCATTATCGTTGTCATCTGTAACAACAATACAACTGTTACATTCTCGACAACAGCCAATATTATCAATATCTTTTTTTAAAACAGAGAAGTTTATCGTAATGTTATAATTTTCTCCCCTACTATTATTATCAACTTTTGTTAATGAAACATGATGGCACTAATTGAAACATGCTTAATATTTTTCGTCTTTAGGGTAGTTTTTTTGTTTCACTGGTTGCCACGAAATGTTCTTTTTCTTTTTAAATTTATTCCTTTTTTGCTTCCTATTATATATAATATTCTAATATTCTAAAATATATTATATAAAACTAATAAATTATACTAAATAATATAAATAACACAAAGCTTTTCAAACACAATATAAATTCTTTTCAATCACAAGATAAATTATCAGATGAATCATATAAAAATAGCAACTTCTATAGACTGTTTTATTCTATATTTTTGTCAAATCATGCGGGCCTACTAAACTAATGCGTAACCAACCAAATTTGAAAAAACAACTAATGCTAAGGTCAAGAGAGAGGGCAATCATAAGCCTAAGTTTGTGCTGCTAGGGTCCGTTGCTATGATCAAGTTGTCCGATAAGGTCTAAATAAAGTAGAATATCTCAAATAATACTCAAAATGTTTTTAGAAAGAATTCAGAAACTTTTACAGCTAAGTTAAATTACTATAAATCAAAAGAAATCTTAAAAACAAAATTCTAATAAAAATATAGACTTTTCTTTCTTTTTTGTAGCTATTAAGGTGCTCTCAGAAGTATTTGCACCACTCCGTGGTGCTTTGTAATAAGACCGTAAAGTAGTGAACCACCTTAAGACTTAATGAAAAAAGTCAGGAAAAACAAGCTTGAAAAATCTATTATTTTAAATGTAATAATTAATTATGTAATATTTTGGTTTGTAAAAACTGTAAAAAGATAAACAATAGTAAGCTGTATATTTGATATGTTGTACTAAAAAAATAAATCACAAACCTTTTGTTTGTAAAAAATTTTTTGAAGATGAATTAAGTAAACTCTGTAAGAAACTTCTGTATACTTTTGATGCATGAAAAACACGGAATAATGTGACTTACCTATCGTTAATACCGGATGCAAAAAAAATCTGGATTATAACTTATCGTCAATACTGAATGCAAAAAAAATCTGGATGATAGCCTATTGTTAATGATTAAAAAAAAGGAGTTGTTATATCCAGAGCAAAATGATTCTACAAAAAAAAAGTTGCTCAAACTACAATATTTTAATTGTCAAACACGGCGATCATGTCGGCGATCAATATTTTAATTGTCAAACACGGCGATCATGTTTGATTAATTGAAAAAAAATTTTCGAGACTCGTTTGTGTTTAACCATTTGGTGTTATTTAACAAGATTTTTCATTCCGTATTTTTTACCAGTTTTTCATACAGAAAAAAACAATAAATTTATAAGCAAAAGATTGCATGGCTCAAAATAAGATTTAAACTATAGATGCCACGAGTAGTGATTTTTACCAAATACAGAGTTTTTTCGGCTAGGCGCTTGGCTGAAGCACCGAATGTTTGGCGACACTTAGTTATTTTGAGGTTTTGACTTGCTCCTTTAAAGTGCATATGTCAACTAAACAAGGAGCGTTTTTGTTTCATTTGTGACTCGGTCGTGTCACAGCACGCATTGTTTGTTTACCGTTATATCAAGTATTTTAAATATAGTAGAAAAGTTAAATATATGCAGTGAGGTCATACTCTTCAAACTACTCAAAAAAATTTCAAAAGTAACCAGCTCAGATATATCATGCATTTCAGAGGTAATTTTACAAAATGCTATAGATTTATTAGCGCAGAGAACTCTAAACGTATTCAAAATAATATTTTCACGATAACCTGAAATTAAAGCATGGTTTAACTTTAATGGGGATGATAATTTTACGGCTCCTTTTTTTTTTTTTTTGTTAATGCATATTCTAAAATTAATTTCCTGGAAATAGGTTAAAGCATAACAAGTAAAAAAAAAAGTTTAAATGTTTTGAGAAAGATTAAAAAATGTGACACACATCACAAACTTTTTCTGTGAAGGGTTAACCAAAGGTCCAAAGCTTGATACCAGCTCAAGCCCAAAAAGCGACATTTGCAAGGAAAGGAGGCATGAACTTCAAAGTTAAATGCTCTACGGTGGTGCTCTGTAATAAGACCGTAAGAACTTCTGAGAGCTATAAATTTTATTATTAATAGCTATAAAATAAAAATAAAAAAGTAAAAAGCTTAATGACTATTCCACCTCAATAAAAAGTGAACTCAGTGAAAGCTTGACAACGATAAACCATCACCGGTGTCTAGTAGAACTGATAATGATTTATCTCCATTTCATAAGGAAAAGAAATGTAAATGAATCAATCATATCAACCTTTAAAAAAAAAACGCGCATAATGATGTTTTGCTCTTGCTGGTGGCCAGCAAGAGCAAAACATCATCCAGAACTTACTAAAGTTATCTTAGTATTTGCGGGTGGCAATGTACATTGTGAATGGCTGTTTGCAGGTGGCAGTGTACATTGTGAATGGCTATTTTTGAAGTATGTATAATTTATGAGAAAAAGCGCAATCATTTGCTATCATCATACGATGAAAATGTTTTTATCATAACTTACCCTCTATACATATTAAATACCAAATATACTAATTTGATATAAAAAAAAAAAAGAATAGTTGCTTATAATCCTT